GGGCCCGTGGGAGCTTGGGCCTGTTGCCCCGCCCCTTCGGCTGCCCATCTCAGAGGCGGACCCTGCTGGGGCTCCTTCTGCCTCCCCTTCTCTGGTGTATCGGTCCTTTTGCCCTTTATGGTTTCTAATGAAGATGAAGTAAGGCGGCTGATGCTGCTGCTGCTCTGCGTGGACCCTGCAGAAATATTCAATTTATCTTGGCTCATAGGAAATTAAGACCGCTTTAGAAAGACATCATCACTAGCTCTGCTGCCCTTGGGACCCATCTGCACATTGCCAGGATCTCTCTGCTCCTGGCTGCTGGATTTTATTTTTGGTTTGTTTTTTTTTGAGGAGTGGTGTTGGTCGATGTTTTTGTTACGTGGTTCGTTTTGGTTGTTGTTTATTTTTTCCTTTTGAGAATGGAGGGGAAGGTGCCGTTGGATAGATAACACAGAAGCAGGATCTTTTGCACACTTGAATTAGAATTTATAGTTGTACTTAGACTTGTAATCTGTGTCTCTGCTGAATCATCTCACGATAAGGGAGAGACTTTTGAGTCCCCTTTCACTCCTTCCTGTGCTCATTTTTCTCAGCACAACAGCAGGGAGGTTAGCAACCCTCGTCTTAATGTGGAGTAGCCTGGCAGCCGAGGACCTGGACATCGTGTGTCTTTCACTCTGTGTGACAGTTGCAAATACACTTACGGCTGTCCAGATTCAAGGAGAATCTTGTATATTTCTGTTTGTAGCAGTGAAATGTTTTTCTAACAGTGTCACACTTGCGGTTGGTTTTATTTTTTTTTGTCATACTCTTATTTGTGTGTTTGTTTGTCTTTTAAGTTTGATCATGTTTGAAGTGTCTGACTTAAGGTTCTTTAAAAGATACTGAACATCCCTTGAGCTGTGCAGAATTCCTAAAATTGTAGATATAATGAGAGGGCATAGAAAGAACTGCCTGGATGACAGGGGAATAGAGAGGGGGGAAAAACCCCAAGAAACTAGCCAGACATCGAATGACAGATTTGAGCATTTTCCTGTTGTAAATGCTGGCATTACACGTTACAGTAATTATATGCTCTGGGCTACTGTTACACTGTTTGTCTGCTGGATAGTAACCTGAACTTATGAAATGAATACAGTTGGTTTTGGATAATAATATAGCCAAGATTATTCACATCAGATGTCTTATGCATATAGGCTTTATTAAGTATGCTTTTAACCTTCTGGCCTGCAGTGTTAAAACCTGTGGGCATTGTAAAGAGAATTTTTCTCTTTAGAATTAGATGAACTAAGCACAATTCAAAACTAAAATCTGTAGTAAGTAAAAGCAATCAAAAGTTTTATTAAAAAAAGATGCTGTATTTTAGCTCTGTGCAGAAGCAAACAGGTACTTACTGCTGAAATTGCATTATATTTATTAGGTACATACTTTGACTTGTCAGAATATGATACTTTGGTGGTTTATTGCCTCTAAATCTTCTGTTGCTTTTATCTTAAAATATGGCAGGATGTAAATATCCAAACATTAAGCTGTGTAAATATATGAATTAATGTTAAAATACAATGTTGTAGCTGTACCATAGTGAAAATTGTTATCTAAGAATTCTAATTTTCAGGACACAAACTTTGCATTATTTTAGTTACTTCAGTAAGCAGGCTAGGTGTAATATTTTAATGTAAATTTAGATATGAAAATATATTTATAAAATATGTTTTTTTCCATAATGAAATCCAAAATGTAGCTTAAGCTGATTAAGGGTAACCTAGTCTTATATCCATCACTGCTATTGCTTCTAGCATCTAAACATTTTGAAAGGATGCCATACGTCCAGATTTCTTTTTCAGTATGACTTTATAAATTAGATATAAAAGATTTAATTCTTCCTGAAGACAGTTTGATTGTGTCAGTAATGCCTGAAAAGATTAGTTCTTCCACTCCACGATGTGTTTTATTTCAAAGAATTAGATCTTGGCAAGGGTTTTGCAGAATAGGACTTTATTTTCTTACATGCACCTATAACTAGAACGCTTATGGCATTTTTGAAAAGTGTGCTTTTCAACCCTGTTGGCATTGATGATACTTTACTTTTCCTTTGCTGTCTCTTTCCATAAATATGTGCAGGGAGATGGAGTTGGTTTAAACCCACTGAATGAGAATGGTTGAATCTGAGTCTGCAATCTCATTATTCTCCCTTGAGAAAGTATTAAAACATAAAATAGTCAAGGTGAATAGTTTTGTTCTTAATTGTGATGATGTCTGTACATATATTGTAAGAGGAAAAGCAAGTCAAAGTTCACAGCAATTTAAAACTCTTTGTATGAAAGAGAAAATTCTTGATTCAGACAGATTCGATCAGAAAACCACCCAGATACATGGGGATTGCGTGGGTGTAAGCAAGTAAAGTTTGGGCCTGTGTGCTTTGAAGGTGGTTCTTTTATTAAAATCTATAGACCAGGATATATAAAATACTTATATAAACTACAGGTTTTGAGTGAAAGGAAACACCATCTGGGTTTGGGTTTTTGTTGTGGGTTTGGTTTATTTTTTTTGTTTGTTTGTTTTGGGGTTGGGTTTTTTTGGTTGGTTTTTTGGTTGGTTTTTTTTGCACAATTTTCTGACAGTGCTACCACATATGCTAATTCAGTAAGAGTTTTTCGTGGACATCTGCCCTTCATTAGAACAGTTTGAGAAGTCATGACAGCTGTAACAGTGGGCTTGTAATTCCTCATCTGTCGGCATATTGTTATACTATTTAAAATGAAGGAAGAAATGAAATAGCTAACTAGTATCAGAAGTATGCAATAAAGCATTAACTTGACTTCTGAAACATACTGAGATTTCTTGTTGCTCGTGTTTTCTGACAGCTTTGTTTCCTTGTGTTGCCTGAACAGAATCTGTCAGGAAAAACTTCCTTATATCCCCAACCAGCGTGCTTACCGCTTTGGAAGTGTACCATTGTAGCAAATACAAACAGTCCTGTGTTAGTGCCTTTTGGTTCTGTGAATGTTTCCATTGAGCATGCCAAGATGTGGATTTTGTAATGTGGAAACCCACATTACAGACTTGGAAGGAGCCCACAGATTCGTTTCATATGGGATAGCAGAGTCTTAAGATAGTAACAGCTCTCAGTATTTAACAAACTGTGCTAGATTTGAACTAGTTGCATTGAGATGAGGTAGCTAACTCATGATATTGCCGAGTGGTTGAAAAATGTCATTCACAGTAAATGATATTATACTTGCAGAATTATGTTTCCTGCCTAATTACAGTAACTTATGCTTTTCATATATATAAGGGTTTATTCTTTATTTGGTATGGGGTTTAAAATGATGAACTCCTGAATTACTGTTAAGACTCTTACGGCAAAAGTCTTCAGTACCAAGATTACTGGAGTACTGTAACAGAAGCATTATGTATTAAGACAAACATATAAGTCTTGTATGTTATTTCCTTAAGGCATTTAAGAAATACTATTGGACAGTTTCATCTGAATAAGCTAACTTCTGTTGTTTGCTTTTTGTTCAGTGCAGCATCTGCCATGTCTACAGAGGGGCAAAGAGTGGATGACAGTCCAAGCACTAGTGGTGGCAGCTCTGATGGAGATCAGCGTGAAGGTGTTCAGCAG